AAATGAGATAAAACATTCTCCAAAGTGGGAGAAAAGGATTACGGTATAGTATGAGTCAGAATATCTAAGTCACCAAAGAATGAAAGCGAGATTTCAGAATATTTATCATTTTCAGAAGTATACCTGATAATTTTAAATAGGTGGCTCAAATAATGAGGAGTTCATTATTACTTTACATTGTGTTTAGCAATTTTCTGGCTTTGTTTTGTTTTTAGTAAAAAACAGAGCATATGTTGTAATGTAACTAAGCTTAAGTAGAGGTACGTAATTCCATATAACTAGATAGTATTACTAAGAGAACCTAAGTTTATTAAAACTACATCCCCAAATTGTCAAGTTTGTGGAAGTACAGCAAATGATTTTTAATGTATCTTGAAAACAGAGTATTGAGCTCCGTGGACCTCTAATTTTACACAGTAAAATATTATGTATGTTTTCATACAGGTGCTTCAGATTTCCCTGCAGTGAGACCAATACAATATTTAAATTTTGACAGGCAGTCTTCTGAAAGCATTGAAAAAGTCATTTGACTAGCAAATAACATATAACCCAATGCCTTAACTATAACATTGTTAAATAACAATTATTTACAGAAGATAAATTCATTTTTAAAGCTTTTATACTAGACCTGTAATAGATCAACTTTCCGATTCTCAATTAAAAATTAGCTATTAAATCAAAATTAATTCCTTCTCTTCCTACCAGAAATATAAGTAAAAGTAGAGTGTGAAGTGTGTGTGTGTGTGTGTGTGTGTGTGTGTGTGTGTGTGTGTGTGTGTGTGTGTGTGTATTTGCTGGTGCCAGGACTTAAACTCAGAGCCTCTTGAACTCAGAGCCTCATGCTCTTGGCTTTTTCACTTGGCTCTTTTATTTGTGCCTGGTGCCCAGCCATTTTGGGTCACACCTCTAGTCCATTGTTTGTTGTTGTTGTTAGTTAATTGAAGATAAAGAGTCTTGGGAACCTTTCTCCCCAGGCTAGCTTCAAACTGTGGTCCTCAGATCTCAACTTCCTGAGTTAGGAATTCCAGGTGTGAGTCACCTATGCTCAAGTTTAAAATGTTTCTTTCTCAGATTCATGGAAACATCTGCTAAAAGATTCATTTGTCCAGGAACTATCTATTATCTTAAGTAAGTTCCATGCATTTTCAAAGTGTCTCAAATGAGGCACAAATGAATTCACCATGAATACAGGATTAAAACAAACCACCAAAAATAATGTTTCAGTTTGTGTTTTTCAGATGGTCTATCTAGTAGCAAACTTAATTTTAAGGTAAAGTCAAACATGAAGTAAATATACATTTTAGCTTTTTCATGTAGCTATTTTATGGTTAACATTAATTTTAAGAAGATAGATCCAGAATAGTATAGTCTGGACATGGTTAGCAACACTGAAGGGAAAAGCAAAGGAAACCATTCAAGGAATGTAAATTTTTATAAGAAGCACATTATATCCCTCTCCATATGACATCAAGTTTAATAGCTTTAGGAAACAGGGAATACTGTCCCCAATGTCTGGCTTTTAGTCCATACATGCAATGTTATTGCTAACTTTCCAGTTTGTCAATTCCCTTTTTTCCCTCTAATCTACTCATTACACCTGCAGCCCCAGAGTTTCTCCCTAAAAGAGGAATTAAGGCCAGGCAAGACAAAATTTGCTAACACATGCATGTCACTCCAAGAATTCTCACAGTCTCCATGCCCAACATAGGTACTTCCCTACTGTAAAAAAACACTTTCCATCTGCATTTATTGTGATCATTTCAGATCCAAAACCATCACACTGTAAATCTAGCAAATAGGTGAATGATATTTGCTTTAGATTTCCAGTGAGGTAGCATTTTGTAAGGTGGTGTGTCTCCAGCTTAACCTTTATGTTGATATTTCATGGTTAGCTGAAGTTCTTCACTTAAGATTGGTTTAGAATAGAATGACTATCTTTCATATCCAGTCTCTCTGCCTCTCTGCCTTCCTCTCTCTCTTTCTGCCTTTCTCTTTCTCTCTGCTTTTCTCTCTGCCCTTCTCTCTCTGTCTCTCTCTGTGTCTCTCTCTGTTACTCTGTCTCTGTCTCTCTGTCTGTCTGTCTGTCTATCTCTCTCTCTCTTTTCTCTCTCTCTCTCCAGCACATACATACACACACAATTGGAACCAGCGGGATAGGAATGGATAGAATATGAACCTTTGATCCTTAATGGACAGAACGAATATACCCATATAAACATGTACTGAGCACTGCTGCTTAGTGTTGCAGGACAAGAATTCCGCACATGAATATAATAAATAGTGTTTTAGGGCTGGGAATGTGGCTTAGTGGTAGAGAGCCTGCCTCACACGCATAAGTCCTGGGTTCAATTCCTCAGTTCCACATAAACAAAAATATTAATAATACTGTTGTAAGCATTCCTTGATTGTTTAACCTCCCAGAAGATAATGTATCTTTTTGTACAGGTTTTCTGGGTTGAATCTCAGAGCCTTGAGCTTGCTTGGCTGCTGGTCTACCCCTTGAGCTCAGCTTTGAAGATGAGGTCTCACAGACTTTTTCTACCAGGGCTTGCTATGACTGGCAGTCCTCCAGCTCTTAGCCTCTTGAGTAGTGTGGATTACAGGTGTGAGCCACCAGCCTGTGACAGAGTGCTTTCTAGCATAATTTTATATTGCTCTTAGTGCTCCCTCACTACATTAACTAAGTGCCATTTTGGCACTCTCAAACCTAGTACTGGTGAATAAAAGCAGGCTCCAAGAACGATTTCACTCTCTGTGACTGACCGACAAGACTATGGCACCTGACCATTGTAGCAGTCAGGGGGAGGAGCAGCTACTACATGTTGGGGCTCCTGGAACCAACGTGTTCCCTGGGCTCTAAAGAGCACATTTATGTTTTGATTGCATGGAGCTTTAACGTTCTTAGAATCCAATTTATCTAATTATGTGCATTTATATTACCCATGAGGTCAATTTCAGAAGTAGCTAATCTATGGCAAACAACCAATAGTTTCCAAAAAGCATGGGTGGTTTTCAACTTACAGAGATAAAGATATCATTAATTACATGCATGTCAAAACCAGCTTTTTAAAAATAACAATATATTTATCTTAAAAAAAAATTATAGGGCCGGGTACTGGTGGCTCACACCTGTAATCCTAGCTACTCAGGAGGCTGAGATCTGAGGATCATGGTTCAAAGCCAACCTGGGCAGGAAAGTCAGTGAGACTCTTTATCTCCAATAAACCACTAGAAAACCTGAAGTGGCACTGTGGCTCAAGCAGTAGAGCGCTCGCCTTGAGCTGAAGAACAGAGGGACAGCGCCAAAGCCCAGAGTTCAAGCCCCACAACCGACAAAAAAATATAAAGAAAAATTATACATTCCCACATTCACACACAGTAGAGATCAAATGCAGGGCCTCACATATACTATATAAGCCCTGTAGCACTGAGCTTCATGACTTATAAAGCCATATATGCTGGGATTTTGTAAGCAGCAAAGAATAATCTAATTCCAGACTTAAATTCAGAGAGTTCTGAACTTTTTTCACATTCTCTGAATCACTGATACAACTGTGAGATATGAAACCAATTTTGTAGCTTTGTTCTCTAATAATATTTATGTATAAACACAGTATCATGATCCTGAGTGACTTCAAAAAATGACTTCAGAAAATGATGTGAAATATCAATCATTAAGGTGATTAATATTGCCATAGTTTCCCACTAGCTTCCAAGATATACTGATTGCAAATCTCTAATTATCTACACAATATTTGTAAAGTATGTCATAGATAAGCTACTAATATTGCTCAGCAAATGATTAGGAATAAATTGCTCACAATAAATAGGACTCTGGCCTTCACTTCTCTCCACAAATCTTAGAGTACTTGTCTTTTTATGAAAAAAAAAAGTAATACTTTACCTATTTTCCAATGCTTCAATAAAATAAGTAATTTAATTTAGTTTTAACAACAAATCAGTAAAACAAGGTCTAACGGTATTAATCTTGTCATATTACATGTTCTTAATGAGCCAACTGTGATCATTTTAATATATAAAGGAATCAATTAGTAGAATATTATACTGAATAAAATAGGAAAGAGTTAGTTGAATGACAAGTGTATAGTATATTATTTATATTTGCTCTTCAAAGCAAAATATATTGGCCAGCCACATTACTTATGTCAATATTTCTTAACTTTATCTTGAAAATCACTGCAACCATCATAAACTAGAGCAAGATAAAATGCATGAGTACCTATCTCACAATTAAATTCAAAATTATGAATAAAATAGAATAAGTGAAGTAGAATAGACATAAAGTAGAATAGATATATATGATATCAGTAATATCATATAAAACCCTGTGCTTACTGTCATCATGGTACTTATTATATTTTCACTTAGCCACTTAACGTTGAGGCCTGGAGTTTGAAATAAAAGCCATGAAAAATTCATAAGTCTATAACAAATCTGCTGAGCTTCTAATAAATAGTATTGATTCTGATAAATTAGTATTAAATTCCTGTATGAAGCAGCCAGATTAACATTTTTTCCCAGGTCCCAAAAATAAAATGTTTAGCTAATGTTGAGTTTCCCACTTTGAAAGAATTCTAAAAACCTAGCAAGACTTCATTAGAAAGAAAAACAAATGCTAATTCTTTGTTGTTGTTGCTTTTGTTTTGTAAACACAGATATGATAGCACCAGGTTCACTTGCAGTTATAAACATGTCATAAAAAAGATTAGAATGAAAGCTTAAGGTTAACTATCTATTTATATAGGGGAATATATTTTCAAGGATTTTCTAGATATATTTCTATTATCTCTTCTATTATTCTTTAAAACTGACTTTAATCACAGTCCTTTTAAGTTAATCATGTGTTAATAATATCCTAGACAGTATAATGCATAGTTTCTATACACAAAGATTCTTTAAATTCTGATTTAAAGCATAGTATCGTATTGTTTTTTTAATTATAATTTTTTAGTGAACTCTTGATCGTTCTTTTACAATACCTGGAATTCTGAGGTTCTGAAGCATCGGATTCTGAGCACGTTTTCTTTACCTATAAGAAAAGAGTCTTCATTACTCTTATTTGAAAATGCAACTTTCTTAATCAGGTTCACACATTTTGTTAAACTTAAAGTGGATACAGCTCTGTTCACCAAATCTCTATAAAATACTCTCCACATTTTATAGCAATAGCATGAGGTACGAAACGGCATATTTCATTATTATGCCATGGAAACAGCTGCTAAATGCGCTTCCATGGTCTCCATTAGATGTAACATGTTGGGCTACAACAGCCAGGACCAGCCAGCCTAATCAGAACAAAGAAACCAAAGAACCAACTCTCCTACTTATGAGCCAGAAAGCCATACTGTTCTTAACCCACTAGGAAGTGTTTTTCCAGTGGATACCACTTCTGTCTCTTAAAGCATACAGTCATAAACACCTGGTTTTGAGGCAAAGCACAGTGTTAGCTAAAATGTTCATATATTAATTTTCTTTTTTTTCAGACCTATGGCTGTAGGTTTTATATAAGTCTCAGCCTATCAAGGAAATTTCAGCCTTCCTCTTACATTTCTCACTTAAAATAGTATAATGGCAGTCTAGTTCACAGACTATATTTCTTTTCTTTTTTTTAAAGGTATTTTTAATCTAGAAACGGTAAAGAATGAGACTAACTTTTGCTGCCAGAGCACCTATCCATTTCTAGATATAGTACATCTCCTAAAACAATGGAAGACAAAAATTAGTAGTCCTTCACAATTTAACTTTAAGTGCAGATACCTGTGTTTGGTTATTGTGGTCTTAAAGATATACATGCATAGTGGAGTCAAATTTTTAAAAAATCTCTCAGATTAACATAAGAACTGTATGATCCACTGTCATATATGTTTTAAGTCCTTATTATGATGATATAAATATGTAGCTTACAGGGTCCCAGAAGTTTTAGCTTCTTATACATAGTTTGGAAGTGGAAAAAAAAAGTGTCCAATGAATGTATACCACAGCCACCTTTGTGTGGGGTGAACTGAAATACAAATAGTACCACTTGAAAGAAGTTTTTAGTTTTAAAGTAATAATAGTGTATTTCCAGCTTGCAAAGTAATACTTTCCTCCTCTGATTCAGAATGCTTTAAACATACACACACACACACACACACACACACACACACACACACACACACACACACACACACACACACACAGAGCACAGCACACACACCATCCCATGAACTTTAAAAAAAAAAATCTGTTTTGGTTTTCATTTCCAAATGGAGACATTTTTGTACACTGGGACATCAATTATTTGCTTTATTAATTGTATTCTGTCTTACTTCCTGCCAATATATTTACACAATAAGAAAATAAAAGTGATTAGCAGGAAGATTGCCATTTTACCTTGTTAGATAACTTTTTCTTCACCCTTAAAATGTGACTCAGCACTGTGAGATGAAGGGGTAGAGAAACATTTTTGAGAATAATGTCAATACAAAAGTCACTTGAAAATACACAGAAGTCTATTGTCCAAGAAAGATAAGAACTAAAAAGAAGGACAACAGGAATCAGATCTTTCTGCCCATGGCTTCTTCCCTATGATTCATCACCAGAAACTGTAAGAATTTGCTAAAGTGAATGTTACTTTCTTAACTATGAATCAGGATAAGAAAAGCTTCCTGAAACTTAACCACCTTTTTAAAGATTTAATATTCATGGCTTTCGAAAACATCATCTTCCCATTAATGTACCAGAAATTTCTGGTATTACTTTATTTCTCAAAGTAATAACTATAACACAGAGAACATATCTATTGTCATATATATACATATATGTGGGTATATATATATATATATATATATATATATATATATATATATATATATATATATATAGCCTGAAAGAGTCCCAGGCTTATAACTAATGTTTAGTGTGAGGAAGCCATGAGATATTCTTTATATATTGTTTGAGATATGTATTCATTCAAATAGTTGTTATTAAAAAAGTTCTATTCCTTTCGAAGTCAAATGAAGGAAGGATAATGTTTAGTATACTGTGACTATATAAGGAAAATCTGTCAAAAACATCGTGGATATTCACAAGTGAAAATGGGAGTAGAAGCAAACACTGGCTTCTGAACTGTTTTGAAGGACATAGACCTCAAGGACTTCATGTGGCTAGAAAAATGTATTTAAATGACACAAGGTTTTGCCAAATGAACCACATTATGAAGCTCTTATACTCACCAAGGAGTCTGGAAATGCTCTGTTGGGTAATGCAGATTATTGAAGCATTTTCATTTTGTTTTGTTTTAAATGTGATTTTATTATTATTATTTGTTTAGGTGATACTGAGGAATAAAACCCAGGGCCTCATGCATGGTAGGCAAGCCCTCTACCAGTTTGCCACATTCCCACCCCCCCCCCCCATTCAAGTGTTTTATGAGACATTTGAGTAGAGATGGCCTAAAAGATATTGGAAATGGGACAAAGTGAGGGCTGACAGGCTGGCAAGAGCCTCAAGCTCAGAGGCTGTTAAGTTCCATGAACAGAGGTGGCATTAACCTTGTACGTGGAGCATTTCATCCCCAGCCCCAAGTGGATGCTCCCCTAATCATTCAACTTGTCAGGAGGAGATGGGAAAGGGCTGAATGAACATGGGAGTCAGAGGTGGAAACACAGGGATATTTTCACAAACATTTCTCAAGACAGAATCTGGCAGACTGGCATACATGATAGAAGTACTTATACGGAACACGACCTAACATTCGTGTCTGTCCCTGAAAGGCAATTTTAGATATTTACAAATAAAGATATTTCATGACAACTTCAGACTGTGTCAAAATTCTACTTTTTTTCCCCTTTAATACCTCAAGGATTTTAGACAAGCTCTGCCACTCAGCCCCCAAACTCGATCTTATTTCTGAAATAATGGAGGAGAGCTCAATGCAGCATTAAAAGTCTTATATGTATATCCTGCTTTGATAATGGAATTCGAAGTTGGAAGTCCAACATGACCATATTTTCCTTTGAAGAGATGAATGGACTTAACTAAATAGCAGCAGATTGCTTTAAGCTATAGAAAGGAGACTATTCCTAAAGTATATGTAGACCATCTCTCTTCAGGAAAATGCCAATTTGTTTTTAAGTTTGCATTGAATAAAGTGTAAATAAGCAGGCCAAGTAATGAAATAGGATTTTGTGCTTATGATTAAAATCCAAAACCTTGTTTTCATAAGACACACACAAGGAGCTAGAGGAAAAATTTAAAAGTAAAAACACAGTTAAATACATTTAATTAGCTAAAACAGAGTAAAATGTTAACTTACTACAAGTTTCTTTGAAGAAATTAGCTAAATCAAAGCATGATAAAGAGCTAAAAGTGCAAAGCTACTAGTATTTAATCAACATACAAATATAAAAATACTGACCTTTCAGAGAAAGGGATGAATAATAGGCCAATATATACAACTGATGATTGTATGCCGGGCACAATGATAGATACTATTTTGTCTCTATTCTCATATAATACTGAGACATAAACTAACTGATTTAATAATAAAATAAAAATCTTGTGAGCTGTATGCCCAGTTTCAAATCCATATCTATGAGTGCTTTCACCAGTACATGTTAGAAACAAAATAGTGAACATATAAACTAAAACCTTTTAAAACTAAAACTTTTAAAACTAAAACCATTTTTAAAATGAATAGGAAAACAGCTTGATATTTAATGTTTAATGTTTATTACACTATTATAATAGTACTGCTATTTATCAAATCAGCTTCTTTTCTTCTCACTACACTAGACTATGTATATTTATAATCTCCATTACTTCATGAAGACAGCCTTAATGGATAAAGTACTCCTTTTAAAAGTGACACCTGAGATACAAAGGACTGAACAATTTGCCTGATGCTGTCTGGCAGCTAGTGCTGGCAGGGATGAAACTAGAACTAAAGGTTATATACATTAAGCCTTTCCCTCCTGTGTTGTGTTGGTCAGTTGCTTTTATAAGGTGTCCTTACTTTTATTACAATCATCTCCCTGAGGTATCACTGAGGTATACAAGTGTACATACTGAATGTATATGACTAGTCTAAGATTAGAATATATCTATGACACTATCACTACAATCTGTCTTGTGAAAATACCCATCACCTCCAAAAATCACTCTCCATTCTTATGTGTGTGTTGTTTTAACAAGTAATATGAGATCTACACTCAGTCAGATTTTAAGTGCTCAATACGTCATGGCTGGCTTTAAGCACTAGGTACACAGTGGATTTCGAGGGCTCACTCATCTTGCATATCTGAATATTTTCTCCCTTTGACTAACACCTTTCCTGTCTTAAAACTAAGAGAAGAAACGAGAGTTCCACAGAACACTTTCCAAAAAGGAACCGAATAGTCACTTCTAAATCTTCAAACAAATTTTCAAAATTGGCCAACTGAAATAAATATTTTTTTAACCAACATTTAAACTCCAGAGAAGCAAAACTTTTATTTAGAAAAACTATTATCCAGGTACCTCTAATATCCACTACCACCACCATCACCAATACACTGACAGTAACAAAGGTGTTTTGTGAAAAACAGCTTCTTATTGTCCAAAATATCCCCATTTGTTCAGTTCAGCGAGGCATTATTGAATGCTGAGGGATGGCAGCACTGTCTAGACACAGAAAGGAACAACAGCCAAGCAGTTCTACAGGGGAGTGATAGCTGCACATGGGTAATTAACCTTTGAAATGTGGCTGGTCTGAACAGAGATGTGTCTAAAAGGCACACAGGTCTTCAAATAAGAAAGGGTAAGAAAATCTCTTAGTATCTTGTACACCGAGTCGTGAAATCATGATTTGAAAATACTGGGTTAAGTCATATGATTTCTACTTTTTCTCTTCCCAAATGGTTGTGAGGAAATTTAAAATACATTCATGATTCACGTCATTTTTTTCCTGTCTAGATCAATGAAAAATGCCTTCCTTTGAGCTCATATATTCCAGAGAAGAGACATGCATACATAACATATGTAAACTGTAAAACATCAGCAGAGAGAGTG